CTCCAACATATTTTTTCTTATCCTTATTCTTCTTCACTATTTTTTATTCTCATTTGCTTCTTATTCTTCTCTATGGTTTTATTCAAATTCGTCTTTTTTGAGTTATTATATCATCAACTATGTCATATTCTTTATACTTCTACTTCTAAATTATAAGAAATATAGGTGAATAAAAGTAAAAACAATACATATAATTTATTACGAAAACTATTAGTACAACTTTTATAACAACTATGAATGGGTAAAAATAATAACAATATATACATTATTAATTAGCAAAATCTAATTAAAATTTTGTTTAATCATTTATTTTTATTGATGATTATTAAATTTAGAAAGTACATTAAATCCAAACACAAAAAAAAAATCTAAAAAAATGTTAAAATAAGATAATTAAGGGAAAAAATCAAAGACATTGCAAACCATTGATAAAACTTATACTAAAAACATTGAATGGATCTCCAAACACGAAAGAGATTCATCATAGAACCTGCATGTAACAAAGCAATGTACATCATTTGATGAAGAGAGGAGCAGGAACCCATTGACTTTCCTTATAGAAAGTTTCGACATACTCGATATCATCGTGAATTAAACCCAAAACATAACATGACTTTGAAAATAGGGTGGACAACACCATTAATTGTTCTTATATTTATATAAAAACACGGAGCGCGAACGACATGCAATGAAACTCTCAAGAAGTAGGCTTCACCAGCGTTAGGGTTGCAGTTGGCTATAATACTCAGTCTGGAGTTGCCGCAAAGACGGGGATGCCATTGACGTTTTTACGATCCCAAATCCAATGGGTCAGAAATTTAGAATACATATATGATATGGCTTCAGGATAGTCCTAATTAAACTTCAGCCAACCTGTAAATTTATTGTGGTAAACATCGGCAGAAAAATGTTCTTCTTCTGTAAAAGCGATTTGAGATAGAGGCAGATGATATGGCAAAATCTGAGGATCACGAATGAGAAAATTGCTAATCTCTACAAAAAAATTCATAAATGTTTTGAAGGAAAAAACTATTAGGAAATAGATTTAGATAATAAAAACGTCTAAAGGCAGAAAAAACATTTAAAGCACTATAAAAAACATTCACCTGACGATTCTATTGTAAGGCGAGAGATAAAATATTCAATAAGCAAATTATGAACTATAAAAAAATAGTAGGTTGTCATTACAGAAATGCATAAATAATACTATATATTGATTTTTCAAAAATATGTGGATAAATTTTTTAAAAAGATGCTAAACCTTAGAAGACGGACATTGTATGTAAGAAAACATGAAGACCGAGAGGAGTATATATAGGATGGATACGTTAAGGCTTAGGTTAATACCGACTTCGATATCAGTGGTCAATAACCAAAATCAGTGGCTAGGGCTAACTTCAAGATCGTGGCCCATTAACAAAATCACTGGCCTATAATCGAAAAAACATGTCACGGGTATTTACATGTAGATTAATGATCGACCTATCAGAACTAATTAAAACGCCACATAATTTTTTTAATAATGACACCTAGGATAATCACTGTGGAGACAACACATCAGATTTTTAGTCATGCCACATATATTTACATGTAAGATTAATGAGCAATCTATCAATATTAATTAAAACGCCGCATATTTTTTTTTTGATAATGACACGTAGGACAATCGCTGTGGAGTTGACACATCAGATTTTTTGCCATGTCACGGATATTTACACGTAGAATTAATGATTAACCTATTATAATTAAGTAAAACGCCACATAATTTTTTTAATAATGACACATAAGCAAATCGCTCTGAAGACGACACCTAAAATTTTTGACTTTGCAAATAATAGTATAAATTATTTGGGAAGTTGCTATTATCAGACAGTTGGTACCGTTTTAATAACATATTCAATGTACCTTTCCGTAAATTTAGGCTGAAAAAAAATAAACTGTCAATAATGTAACACATATATATATATATATATATATATATGATCCTTTGGCGATACAGTTGAGATACAGTTGTGATAACTGATCAGGGTGCTTTCAATGCTAATTCATGATGCTAAGAAAATAATGAGATACTTATAATTCTTTAGTATAGATCTCCAAATCAGATTAATTCATTCTGATGACAATAATCCCTTTGATAATTACCTAATCAAGACTAACTTTAATTAGTGAAAAGGCAATTAACAAGCATGAAGTTCAATACCTAAAATGACCAAACAGCCTCTTAAACATCAGATCAATGACTAAGAAAAACTGAATCTTACACAGAAAGATATAACAAGCATTACATGATCTCTATTTCCAATTAACTTAGAACTCTAAACAAGATCAGTTCTTCAGCAAGATAAAGATCACATTTCAAATCATCACTCAAACCTAATTTCCATTAGTGTAATGATGATCAAGATGCATTAATAAACAGTTCTAAAATGTCGTTTATGCTTCAAACAAACACTCTCATGGAATTCAAAACGTAAACCCTTTAGTTAGATTTTTCAGACATTTCATCAAACACCTTGTGGGTGGAGAAATGTCTAAGGTCTAGATTAAGCTTATAATGGGAGATCTAGCATTAAAAGCAGCTAAATAAGGAAAGAAAATGAGAATTTAGCACCTAAACATCATAAACTAAACATCTAAGCACCCTAATCTACACATCTAAAGACTTATAAAAGACTACTCAGTAATCATACTTAACACACTAGATCGTTTGCAACAAGTGATGTTAAGTATGATTAATAAATTAGAGAAGATAAAAAGATTGATACGAAACAGCTTTGAATAATTAAAAACAAAGATATTTCTTAACAAAGATCAAGTATTTCACAAAAGAGGCAAAGAACTACAAAATGAATGAAAGATATTTAGGTTTTTAGGTCACAAATGTATATATAGTGGAGGTTGGCAAACCGGAACAGCCCAAGACAAACTGGGTCCTGACCCGGCCTTGTTGGGTCTTTGGTGCTATGCCATGCCTCAGCCCAAGTCTCTCCAAGTTGTGGCCTCAACCCGTGGCAGTGAAATCTGGGTTTAAAACATGATGAACATGCATTGCCACGGCTTGGAACCAGCTCTTCTTGCTGTGGCCTTTGACTCATGGCATTGCACGAAAGTTTGTTGGGGAGCTGGCCACGACTTGAGCAAGCCGTGGCACTATGTCATGGCAGTGAAATCTGGGCTTGAGACATGAAGAAAACTGCAGTGCCACGCCTAAAATCATCCTCTCCTTACTATGGCACTTGATCTCTGGTATCCTGCGAATGTTTTGGTGCTTTCTTCAAGAGTTGGCCACGACATGAGTAAGTCGTGGCAAACAGTTCATGACACTGACCGTGTGTGATGTTCCCTGGTGCCACGAGATGCTCAAGTCGTGGCAACTAAGTCGTGGCTATGCATAAGACTCCATGAGATGACACTTAGGCGTTTTGGGAAAGATTTGGTTCTGAAGTTGTGAGTTTGACATTGCCACGAGCTATTTGGTCGTGGCCTTCAAGTCATGGCACGAACTGGCGCTTAACCAGGTGCTACTCCAAAGATAAGGCTGATTCCGGGAAGACATGTCTGTGCTTAAACCCGCGTAACTTTCGAGCCAGTGATCCGGTACTCAAGAATCCAGCTTCAGGAGATAGGTGACTCAATAAGCTAAAACATTGATGAAGAGTCCAAATGCATCCGGAGAGAGCAAGGCTTCCGGTACAGCGGTTTTTTGCGGCGCATTGGATTGGTCCGGATTTTAGCTGCGAGACAAGTTCATCTTCAAACGGCAATAATTTTCGTTTCACTTCACCAAATCAGCTGATTTTAACTCCATGAAACGATGGCTCGATCTTCTACAACTTCAATGAAGTTGTCGGAGACAAATCGGAATTGAAAATCTCCGTCTTAAGTGATCTTTGAAGAGTATTGGCGGTTGAGAAATTATATCTGAGAGCCATGTACATGTTTTGGCTGAGGGTTCTATACCGTGGTACGTGTTTTTGGTTGAGAAATGTGACCTGCGATACAGCAAATGTCCAATACACATTTTCAACCAATTTCTTCATCTTTTTCCACATTTTATCCAATGGTCTCCACTCATTTGATCCTAATTGTTTCCAAAGTACCTGATAAACACTCCAAATCAAAGACTCACTTGAACCTAATGCAAACTCCTAGTAAAACTAAAACAAAGACAAAACACTAAGGATTCTATCTAAAAAATGCATATTTGGGACTTTAAACATGAACTAAAATGCACACTAAACATGGTAAATTATGCATATATCAGGTTAGAATCTAGTATGTGATTAATATGAAGAAGAAAAAGGAAGAGAAGGGCAAACAAAAAAAACGAGTAGTGAAAGAGAAAGTGAATGATACAAATTTAAACCTATTTATTATGGAAATTTCATTCATGAAAGAGAAAAAAGATGAACATGCTGGTGATTTTCAAAAATACCTAAATTAAAAATTTAGAGAGAGTTAGACCCTTCAAGAAAATATAACTGAACGTTATTTTACCACTATTGGTTCATTTCTTCAATGTTTCTGTTTGATGATTATTCTTTTTAATAAGCAACTTAAAGTTTTCAAAAACATTTAAGTGTAGATTTTTTCACAGTGTTAGTTCTATATTGTTGTTTATAGGATAACAATGAAGAAATGATTAAAGATTTTGATGACATCCAAAGATAAAGCCACAAAAAGAAGACTGTGTTAGTTCCAAAAAGAAATCTGCAAAAGATTTCACAGTGTTAGTTCTATATTGTTGTTTCTAGGATATCTTCAAGCTTTATGGATAGCCACTCTTTCTCCAGCCACACTTCCTTCGTAATGAAGAGATTCTCTACCCTCAAAAGCTTTTCCATAACCCTCAAAAGCAACAATCAAATTAGGAGCCTCTCTACCCCCCTCTAGCTTATGCTAAGTATTTCAAGCCTTCCTTTCCATCATTCAAGAGTGGACCCAAGACCATCCTATCCCTAAACAAGACCTACATATCTACAGAATCAAGCTCCAAGATGTCATCCTCCAGAGGCCTAAACAACAGCAGAGCTCACCAGATCCAAAGACAGGACGAAGAGGAAGACGTGGTTATCTTAACACAAGTGGATAAATCGGCTCTGATAGCACAGTTTAACTGTAGCTTGGTGGGGAGAATGTTTAACAAAGAGGACAGAAGCATCAAGGCCTTAATCGCTCTTCTCCCCATAGCTAATATATGGGATGTCGAGGGCAGAGTGCACGATGTCGACTTGGGGAACTCCCGCTTCCAGTTCGATTTTTACTCGGAGACAGATCTCCAGAAAATTCTCAACAAACGACCCTGCCACTTCAACAGATGGTCTTTTGCTTTGGAGAGATGGTCTCCCCACGTTGGAGATGTATTTCCAAACTCCATGACTTTCTGGGTTCGCACAACAGGCATTCCAACCCACTTCTGGATGGATGAAATCTTCTCTGAATTTGGAAAAACCATTGGGGTTTTCGGTGCCATAGAAGCAAAGGCGGCAAGGTTCCAAGTAACCATAAAAGTAGATGAGCACCTGAAATTCGAAAAGAGAGCAAGACTCTCTACAGGCGAGATTGTTACGGTTTTTCTGAAGTATGAAAGCTGTACCGATGGTGCTTCACATGCTTCCACATTTCTCATGAGGAAAGTTCTTGCCCACTGCTTACTGATCAGCAGAGAAAAGAAAAAAGAAAAGAAAGAGAGGCTGCTAGAGACCCTGATGTCCAGATAAGAGAGGAATACCCAAGAAGAAAGGTCATTCCTTTGGCATACGAACAAGCAGGAAGTAGCATCAATCCCTCTCGTATGAGGCACCTGACTGAGAATACAGCCGTGAAAACAAAACCATTCCTTACACCTCTTCTGCAGTAAAGGAATCTCCTCACCGTAGTGGAAGAGAGACTTCACACCAAGAAATAGATAGTGTCTGGAAAAGAATGGAGATCCCATATGAGCCCAGAAATGGAAGACAAAAAGACTCACGTGCCATAACAACTCCCCGCTTTCGGGAGACCTCACACCACCTGGATGCAGTTGATCGAAAGAGACGCTATGAGGATTCGTTTGCACCAAATAGAAAGAGGGAAGAGTCAAACAAAATTAGAGAAACAACACCTTCAAGAGACTACCAAAAACTTCAGATTAATGAACGTGCTACTGCTGCTTCTCACCACTCTCAGGTGTCGGACTCCCAAAAGAAAATATCGGAGATCCTATCAACCGTTAATCGGCAAAACAACCTTTCAAGTCAACATAACACCTAAGAGAGAGACCATTCCGCCTAAATCTCCAGAAGAGATCTGATGTTATGTCAAAAGACAAGGAAAAATGAATTGATCTGGGAAACAGCTCGGAATCAGGAAGCTCAGCAAAGAAAAGCCTGAACTTTGCGATGGAAGTATCCATGGAAGCATCTATGCAAGTACCTGAGCCGACAGTGATCCCAACCAAATCTCTGATCCCTTTTTTGAGAAGAAAGCAAGTTTCTGAACCCAGAAGGAGCTGGTATGATATGACGCTGGAAGATAAGTATGAGGATGATGAACTCGAGACTATTGGAGAGGAAAAAAAGATAAAGCAACTGGATTTCGATTTTCGATCCGAAATGATTGCCGAACTTGGTGAGGATACAATCGTGGAGGACGAAATGGAGGATGAGAAGGAAGAGACAGAGGATGAGATGCTAGCGAACGAAGATGAAGGGCTCGGTGACTGGGTGGAAAACGACGACCTTATGGAAGAAGAGCTGTTTAACGATGAGTTCCTAGGAGAGGATCTAATGCTCGCAGATGATGAAAATTTGGAAAAAAAGGCTGCATCTCCATGGAAGAAGATGAAGCAGCCGGGGAAGAAGCTGATCAGGAGGGTGGTGAGAGTGATGAAATTCCAAATCCCGTCAATTTTGATGCGATGAAAATCTTAGGTTCCCCTCCTAGAAACCTCCGGAGCTCTTCTTAGGTTTAAGGTATGTCAGAAAAAGCAAAGAAGAAGATCGATAACAGCCCAAATATCATGGGCTTCTCCACAAAAATGAGGACTTTGGCAAAGGGCCGTGTGTCCCCATGTAACAAGGGGAAGAAATCTGGGCCTCTTCCAAGTCCAAGTAAGACCAAAAAATCCCTCTCAAGGAAGAGCAACCGAACAAGAACAAGAAGACCTTGAGTGCTTAAGCCGGCACAACGACAACAGAATGAGCGCAATAGCATGGAATTGTCAGGGTAAGTGAGCACAACTGACAAAAGAGCACCTGGAAGAGCTTCATCGGTGTTTTCTACCTAGTTTTCTTTTTTTTTTTTATCATAGACAAAAAACAATCCTTATGCTATGCAAGATATGCAAATTTCATTCTGATATGACCATGTTTTCACCATGGAGCCGAGAGGCAGAATCGGTAATCTAGCTTTATTTTAAATAGATGATCCAAAAAAGTTGTTATCTTATATTCAGATACTCGTATGATCGATGTTGAATCAACGTTTGAGGGAAAAAAATTTCATAATATTTGTTTATGGTGATAAATTCGTTGAGTCCCGAGAACAAGTTTGGGAAAGACTCACACGGATGAGTCTTAACTGTCAAGGTGCTTGGTTAATGATGGGGCATTTTAATGAAGTCACTGGTAATCATGAAAAAAAAAGGAGGACTGAGAAGATCAGAATCCTCTTTGCTACCATTGATAACATCATATTTGTACCCATTTTCACTATTGATTTCAAATGCTTTTTTAAAGGTTTTAATTAGTTTTAGGAATTTTTATTACTCTTTTTTTATATTTGTACTTTCAAGACTCTTTTCAGGAAAGTTGGGAAAAAATATGACAAAATTGAAAAAATCCACATTTTTAGTTCAAAGTCAAACCATCAGAAGTTCAATCTCAAATGAAGATTTTCTCACCGTCTGATCCAGTTCAATTTTGGAGACATTCAAGAGGATCTAACTGAATTTTCATAGCACTTCACTTCAGGAAAATCCAATGGTGCAATCAAAAGTTACATGAAGATCAAGATATCCTGTCAATCAGTCCGAACTTCAGCTGACCCGCGACAAAACACCTTCTGGCCGCACACCATGCTTCTCACATGCAGTAAACCATCATTTCACCAGTTCCAAAAGACCCTCACTTGCTGTGCAACATAACTCGGCCCCAAGGTCCAACATCAAGCCCATTTTGTCATTTCTCTTCGCAAAAGCCTTAATGAAGACCTAGATGACCTTAGGACTTATAAATACATTTTTTAGCAGTCCTAATCGGGTGTGTTCTCCTGTAATGAGTTTTTGAGCCACCAAAACTTTGTTTCTTAGGGTTAGGCGAAGGAGAGAGGGATTTGTCCCTTGAACCTTTGACATATCTCCTTCTTTTTATATATCTACACTATACTATTTTTAGTTATATGCATCTTGCATACTTGTTTATCTTTTCCTGCATCATGTTAGAGTAGTTTAGTAGTTGAGTTTTAAGGACCAATCCAAGGGACACACATGTTTGATAGGGATTGCTAGTTTTTCTCAACCATATTCTATTTCTCATCTCTTCTAAGTTAAACCTAATGCATGAGGTTAGAGTCATGAACTAATCTATGAACCTAGGATTGATCAGAGCCATGAAAGTAATTTATTAGATTGTCAGAAACAGCTTTGAAAGAACGTACTCGCTGTAGGAAATGAAAGCTATTGATAGAAGACCGTCCTAGAATTGTCACACACTTGGCTCGGTGGAGGTTGATAGATCCTTGGATCCAGACCGGTTCGGTGAAAGAGATGCTAAGGCGTGAGCGAGAGCTCGAAAATCCCTAGGCCCAATTCCAAAGAAGGGGTTGGAAACGAGGGGATGGACAAAGTTGATTAAGGATTGCGATATCGGATGTTAGGGTGTGAGACAAGTCCCGAAGTTCCCTAAGCCCCAAATATGACTACAACTCTCTCTCACACTTTGGAATCGAAGGCTGCGTCAAGCAGGATGAAACTACTTGATAAACCGAAAATCGATCAATGGCTAACCACCAAAATATCGACAAAGTTCTCGAAGAACAAAAGAGAAAAAAACTCAAAGAGATATTTTTATAAAAAGATAAGTGATAATGGTTCTGAATACATGGGTGCCTTTATATAGAGGCGAAAGGACACCATCGGTCATACTCAGAGAATTAAAAGACATTAAATGAAACTAAATGAATCTAAAGATACGTTGAATAACGATTGGATTTCCGGATGACCCTTCGCGTCTTCTCGCTAGACTCTTGAACTCCTTAACCGTTATACTTGGCCGCGAATCGAACCATGGTCGCGAGATGGGTGTGCATTAACCTCGTTAAAACCCCACTCGGAAAACCCAGTGGGACAAAACCGAATGTAAGGAAAAAGAGTATTAACACAACACCCCAACCAGGTTAGTTCGGACCAGAGTACATGGGAGCGGTCATGACTTTGTGAATGGGTGTTAGGTCGTCAGCTCGGCCTTGGTTCCTTAGCTCGGTGAGAACTTGTTGGATTGCTCCTGTGAGCTTCTTGGTACGCGATCTGGTCATCGGTCCAGTTGGCATGGCCAAGACGTCGTTCAGGTCGACTCCTTGGTCTTGTACCCCGTCCTGAACCTCGACTTCGCTTAGCTCGGCCACTTGGTCTTGTGTTCCGGCCTGAACCTCGATCTGTTCCTCATCCTTAACTCCCATCGGTTCCATGATTCTATCATCCCCCCCCCCCTCTTGAAAAGGACTTGTCCTCAAGTCGGCTTCATCTGCGTGAAAAGGAATGATATCAGCAATATTGAAACTTGAGCTAACTGAGTACTTACCTTGGAGGTCGAGCTTGTAAGAATTGTCGTTGATCCGCTCTAGGATAGTGAATGGTCCGTCCACTCTCGGCTTCAATTTAGACTTTCTCTCTTCCGGAAACCTCTCTTTCCTTAGGTAGATCCACACTTGGTCTCCGGGCTCAAACATCTTTTTGGTTTTTCTTTTATTGGCGTACTTCTGGAATTGCTCCGTCTTTCTTTCGATGTTTTGCATTGCCTTTTCATGCATCTTCTTCACCAGATCGGCTTTCTTCTTCCCGTCCATGTTCTCACGCTCAATCATTGGTAAAGGGGTTAGATCCAAAGGGGTAAGAGGATTAAAACCATAAACTAACTGAAATGGTGAAAACAATGTGGTAGAATGGACAGCTCGGTTATAAGCGAACTCAACATGAGGTAAACATTCCTCCCCAGTCGTAAGGTTCTTTTTAATGACCGATCTCAAGAGAGCTGACAAGGTCCTATTGACCACTTCGGTTTGACCGTCGGTCTGAGGGTGACAGGTTGTGGAAAAACACAGTTTAGTTCCTAACTTAGCCCACAACGTTTTTCAAAAGTGACTAAGAAATTTAGTATCCCGATCTGACACTATGGTTCTAGGAACTCCATGTAAACGAACAATTTCCCTAAAGAACAGATCGGCTATATTGGAAGCATCATCAGTTTTGTGGCATGGAACAAAGTGTGCCATCTTGGAGAACCTATCTACTATGACAAAGATAGAGTCCTTACCTCGGCGGGTCCTAGGTAACCCGAGGAAAAAGTCCATGGAGATGTCTGTCCACGGCTCGGTAGGGATGGGTAGTGGAGTGTACATTCCTGCGCCCTGGCTGCGGCCTTTGGCTAATTTGCAAACTGTGCATCTTTGGCAGATTCTCTCCACATCCTTCCTGAGGTGCGGCCAGTAAAAATGGTCTTGGACCACACTTAGCGTCTTAAGA